GGGTCCCGCCGATGCAGACCGCCGCGGCGTTAGTGACCACGGAACATCCTTCGCCGGCCCCTCCTGGCCTAGGAGGGTTTGCTGGGTTTCCTTGCGTGGCTCTGAAGACCACCCGCTTATTTAAAGGGTGGCTTGCACGGTGGTGGTCTAAGGTGGTCTCCCAAATAATCTGGAACCCACAGAACCACTCATACCATTAAAAAAAAAAAAAGGATTTGCTTTGAAGAGCACTCAGGTGATTGACTCATCGACGTTAACGGTTGAACTTCCCAGGTCCTGATGGTGCACGAGCATGGGGTGACCATTCCTGGGCCGCCTGCGTGTCCGCCACGTGCTCAGACCATCATCTGCAGCCTCGTTCCTTCCAGTGCTTTCCACAGGCTCTAAGAGCCCCCAGTGCCCGGCAGAGCCTGCCTGCCCTCCCACCTCCCACCAGAGAAGCTCAGCCCCGCGGTCACCTTTCCCACTAGGGTCTTTGGGGTGAGCGTGGGATTTTCTGGTTCAGACCGTAGTCCGGTTTAGAATAACCTCAGGTTGTTTTTAGCGTGATCAACTTCCAATATAAAGGATCCAGATGGAGACTATTTTTTACTGTACTAGTGATGATCCTACAGAGCACCTGAATTCTTGACACTGTCATGTTTCTGTATAAATAATACGTGTGTTGACTTTTTCATCTGATCCGATGTATAGGGCCGGTTTTATTCCTGCGACGCAGCCACCTGATTTTGTGAAATAAAAAAAAAAAAAAAAAAAAAACAAGAGAAAGGAATAATGGCTTCGGAACAGTCTGGAGTCTCCTTTCCCTGCCGCGTGCGTTGCGGGCGAGCTGGTGCTGCGGGTCGGTTTTTGGGGCTGAATCTTCACTGCAGTGGAGTAAACACAGAGCCTGAGCTCGTTACACCGAGGGAACGCAGGTGGTGAGCCGCCGCTTCGGAAAATGGTATTTCAGATTTAAAAGACTTCGTGAACGCGGAACGAAGTGAAATGGTGTTCGAAGCCCAGTGGGGTTATTTCTGTTGGATTCCTGCCTTCCCGCGCTGACCTGGCCCGGTGCTCGGGCTCGCCTTCCCGCTGCCGTCGGACACTTGGAAGAAGTGCTCTGAAGTGGTGGGGTTTAATGGAGGAGGACTGGGCACGCGGCCCTGGTGGGGTCCCGCTGTTCCTCCATCCCTGGACCAGCTTCACTGTTCAATTGTTTAATTCAGATCCCTGTTTGCATCTTTTGTCCTCTCCTGCAGGGCTCCTGAGGCCGCCGGATAATTTGCCTTTTCGATTAAACTGAAACCTGGAATCTAATCTGGATTAGAGTCTAAACACTCCTGTTGCTTCCCCAAGTAGGAGCGTTTGCCTCTGAAGCAGCGCGCTGATGGCGCTTCAGCCTGGGGAAGAGAAGGCTCCGGGGAGACCTTCCAGCACCTTCCAGTGCCTAAAGGGGCTACAGGAAAGCTGGAGAGGGGCTTTGGACAAGGGTCTGTAGTGAGAGGACACGGGGTGATGGCTTTGAACTGGAAGAGGGAGATTTAGATTAGATCTAAGGGAGAACTCCTTCCCTCTGGGGGTGGTGAGGCACTGGCACAGGTTGCCCAGAGAAGCTGTGGCTGCCCCATCCCTGGCAGTGTTCCAGGCCAGGTTGGATGGGGCTTTGGGCAACCTGGTGTAGTGGAGGGTGTCCCTGCCCATGGCAGGGGGGTTGGAACTAGATGATCTTTGAGGCCCCTTCCAACCCAAACCAGTCTGGGATTCTGTGATAAACCAGCTCAGTTTTCTGGCAGTAGAGTCGTTGGAGACCGAGGTGCTGTGCTCGGTGCTGAGCCCTTCTGCCCTGTCCAAAAAACGCGCTGCCCCTCCCGCCCGTGCTCGCTGCTGGGGGGGTTGTGGCTTCC